AAAAAAAAAAAAAAAAAAAAAAAACGTGTTGTTTCTGTAGTGTATGTGATTACAGCATTCCAGCAAATCACACAAACCATAACGTCTAATATAGAAGCACTGTCGAATTCGACTTAACCTGCTGGCAGCTAACAAAGTCGTGAATGTTTCATCTATAGCTAAAAATAAAATTAGTAAAAGACAGTAAGTGAGTCACTGATGCGCTCGCCAATATTACTTGGAATTTCTCCGTTACATTCAACGAATAAAAATAGAATAAAAATAAACCAATGACAGTGACAGCAACAACAATAACAATACTAATAACAACGATGACGCTAACACTAATAATAAAAATAATGACAACAGTAACAATGGTAACAATAACAATAATAATAACAAAGTAATTATGGCAACAGTAATAATAAAACAGCGGGCTTGAAGTAATCAGACAGAAGTGCACTGGGCTTGCCGGTGCGATCATACGTTTTTACACCAGACTTGAAGTGATCAGGTCAATAACTACATGAGTGGTTGTTGCTTTACGACTACCTTAAGCACACGCTCACTACTATAAATCATCGTAAATTTTGCATAAAGGAAAACGAACAATTTCCGTTTGACGGTCGTTCCTCAAAAACGACCTAGCTGTCCAGGAAGCAATTTTAATGCGATCATCACAGATACTTGGAGGTTGGACCTGAAACCTTCAAGCTGTACGTGAATGGGGAACATTCTCCTAAAATTTCAACTTTCCAGTTTTTCTGGTTACTGAGTTAGCACTTTACGTGCCCGTACATGTCAGCCACAAACAATTAGGGGCTAAATTTGAAACACACACAGAGAATATTCCTGCAAAGTTTCAGCTCCTATCTTGTCTAGTTCCCGAGCTCGCTTCTCCGACAGAAAATGTGCATATTCCTCTGGAGCGTCCACACGTGGGACCTAAGCATATGCGGTCCATAATATTAAGACGAGAGGGTCGCACAGGTGGTGAGCACATACTCCCGAAGTTCCAGTTTTCTAGATTCTTGCTCTCCATTTGAAAGTGGGTGACAAACACACAAACAGCTTCTTGCGTTTTTGCATTTGCACATATGTAAAAACGCATAATAACAGCAACAACAACAATGGTAATAACAATCACACTGATATTTCAACGTCATTCCTGTAAAAATTTGTGACGTATGTTCTTGTTTGGCCTGCTTCTCAGCTCCTTCCTGGGCCTCAGATGTAATCCCACACATAGAGTTTTGAAAACGATCGGAAAAAGGAGAGACTGATGGAAATGACCAAGTGACCGTATAGACATGCAGAGAGTTCCGTCACTGAGTAACAGAGTAACACAAAGGCTGAGTAAAACAAAGGGCACTAGGAGCCTGAACAAAAGCGCTCTGCGATGCGTCGGTGCTTCGCCAGAGAGCCGAGCGAGGAATCAGCGAAGTTTGCGAGGGAACACCGGAACAAAGGACGGAGCAGCGATGCGGTCAACAGCAACAACATGTGTTGAGGACGATTCTGAGGGGCACCATCTCATAACTC